TACTGCAGGTTTCATAAGCAAACTGGCCACGATACGGATGAGTGTCACGTTTTGAAGAAACAAATAGAAGAACTCATCCAGCAGGGCTACTTCCGACATTTCGTCAAGCGATCCAAGCAGCAGCAATAGTCGCAACACAATCCACCAAAAAATGTCTGGAGGAATGAGGATGGCACAGAGCCGTCCACCTCGAACGCCAAAAAAAGAGAACACGACCAAATATCTGAGCACAATGATAGCGAGAAAGAAATCGAGGTGGTGCCCAGACGACAAAAGAAGCACACCATACACTTTATCTATGGTGGACCCGTAGGGGGTGACACGCCTGCGGAAAGAAAGAAGTGGAGCCGGCAGCTATACGTGGGAGAAGTGGTGAGTCTTCCTAGAGAAGAGAAACAGAGACAGGAGGCCATCACCTTCTCTAATGATGACCTCCCAGAGGGCCCGTTACCCCATCATGACGCCCTGGTGATTGAGATGGACGTCAACAATGTCAATGTTCGCCACATCTTAGTCGACACGGGAAGCTCAGTCAATATGATGTATTACGATGCCTTCACCAAATTAGGGATACCTAGGAACCAGCTCAAAGAAGTACGTACCCCACTCTCTGGATTTACGGGAGATTCAGTGGAGACGGAGGGGTTAGTGGTCTTACCAGTGGAGATAGGCACGAGCCCTAACATTCGCAAACTTGACGTGGAATTCATCGTGGTAAGACTCACTTGTGTGCACAACATCATTTTGGGGAGACCGGCACTGGAGGACCTCAAGGCCATAGTGTCGGTGGAACACTTGTGTATGAAGTTCCCTACTCCGAGTGGGATAGGAGTCGTCAGAGGAGACCAGTGAGCAGCACGCAGTTGTTACGTAAAAGCATGCAAAAAGATTGGCGGAAAGGACCTTCAAGTCCACACCATCTGCAAGGATGATCGATCGGGTATGGAACTCAGAACATTTAATTAGATATTATAAGTAATATTTTGTAGTCGTGGTCCGCCCAGATCTGTAAACAATACTTTGTAATCATGGTCTACCCAGGTTACTTTGCTCAAATAAAAGGTTCTCAGCACCGCCTTCGATCAACCAAAAGCCGACCGACGCCACATTGTAAACAGAAAAAAAAAAATAAAAAAATAAGGTCGAGGCGCACGCCTCGGCCCAAGGCACGACTGAGGCGGCGCCTCAAGCCGAACCGCAAAAAGGCCTGAGGCGCGCGCCTCGGTCACTAGCCGAGGCACGCGTCTCGGCAGCGCCCACGGCTGAGGTGACGCCTCGGCCAAACACGGCTAAGGCGACGCCACAGCCGAAAAAAAAAAAAAAAAAAAAAAAAACCGCCAGGCGCACGCCTCGGCCAGGCCGAGGAACGTGTCTCGGCCATTGGCCGAGGCGCAGCACCTTGGCCTAGGGCCTGAGGCACGCGTCTCGGCCATTGGCCGAGGCGCAGCACCTCGGCCTAGAGCCTGAGGCGCACGCCTCGGCCGGGCCGAGGCGCAGCACCTCGGCCTAGGGCCAGAGGCGCACGCCTCGGCCGGGCAGAGGCACGCGTCTCGGCCTAGGGCCTGAGGCGCATGCCTCGGCCGAGGGCCTGCACGCCTCGGCCAGGCCGAGGCGCAGTATCTCGGCCTAGGGCCTGAGGCGCACGCCTCGGCCAGGCCGAGGCCCGCGTCTCAGCCAAAGGCCGAGGCGGCGTTGCAGCTTGTCCTTAAAAAAAAAAAAAAAAAGAGGGGCTGGAGCTACCAAAAGCCGACCGACGCCACATTGTAAAAAAAAAAAACCAAGGTCGAGGCGCACGCCTCGGCCCAAGGCACGACTGAGGCGGCGCCTCAAGCCGAGCCGCAAAAAGGCCTGAGGCGCGCGCCTCGGTCACTGGCCGAGGCACGCGTCACGGCCAGCGCCCACGGCTGAGGTGACGCCTCGGCCAAACACGGCTAAGGCAACGCCTCAGCCGAAAAAAAAAAACAAAAAAAAAAACAAAAAAAAAAAAGCCGTCAGGCGCACGCCTCGGCTAGGCCGAGGCACGTGTCTCGGCCATTGGCCGAGGCGCAGCACCTCGGCCTAAGGCCTGAGGCACGCGTCTCGGCTTAGAGCCTGAGGCGCACGCCTCGGCCGGGCCGAGGCGCAGCACCTCGGCCTAGGGCCTGAGGCGCATGCCTCGGCCTAGGGCCTGAGGCGCATGCCTCGGCCGAGGGCCTGCACGCCTCGGTCAGGCCGAGGCGCAGTATCTCGGCCTAGGGCCTGAGGCGCACGCCTCGGCCAGACCGAGGCCCGCGACTCAGCCACAGGCCGAGGCGGCGTCGGAGCCTGTCCGTAAAAAAAAAAAAAAAAAAAAAAAAAAAAAAAGTGGGGTCGGAGTTCGCCTCGGCCACGACCGGTTGAGGCGCACACCTTGGCCACGATCGGTCGAGGCGGCGCCTCGACCACGATCGGCCAAGGCGCACGCCTCGGCCACGGTTGGTCGAGGCGACGCCTCAACCATGATCGGCCAAGGCGACGCCTCGGCCACGATCGACCGAGGCGCACGCCTCGGCCACGAGCGGTCGAGGCGACGCCTCGACCTCGAACAATCTGCCGGGGTGCACGCGTTTGCCACGATCGGTCTAGGCGACGCCTCGGCCGTGATCAGCCGGAGGCACGTACCTCGGCCAGCCTAAGCCGCAGCCCGTCTCGGCCAGCCAAAAAAAAAAAAAAAAAAAAAAAAAAAAAGGCCACCAGGTGCACGCCTCGGCCAGGCCGAGGCGCAGCACCTCGGCCTTGGGACTGAGGCACGTGTCTCGGCCGTTGGCCGAGGCGCAGCACCTCGGCCTAGAACCTGAGGCGCACGCCTCAGCCAGGTCGAGGCGCAGCACCTCGGCCTAGGGCCTGAGGCGCACGCCTCGGCCAGGCCGAGGCCTGCGTCTCGGCCACTGGCCGAGGCGGCGTCTCAGCCTGTCCGTAAAAAAAGAAAAAAAAATAGTGAAAGAAAGAAAGATAGAAAAAAAAATGTGGGGCCGGAGCTCGCCTCGGCCACGATCGGTCGAGGCGATGCCTCGACCTCGATCGGCCAAGGCGCACGCCTCGGCCACGGTTGGTCGAGGCGACGCCTCAACCATGATCGGCCAAGGCGACGCCTCGGCCACGCGCGGTCGAGGCGACGCCTCGGCCACGAACGATCGGCTGGGGTGCACGCCCTGGCCACGATTGGTCGAGGCGACGCCTCTGCCAGCCTAAGCCGCAGCCCGTCTCGGCCAGCATAAAAAAAAAATTCATCTGTGATTTAGAAAATAAAATGACATACTCGGGATCAACCGGGATTCTGCACGATACCAAGCAAATTCAGTCTTACTCCCTAGTCAACTCAAACACATCCGTAGACTCGGGAGTAGGGGGGATTGGTGACAGGATAATGGTGCTGGCACCTGACCCGGATCATAAGCAGCATCTGACCCGACACCACATGGAAACCCAACGGGCAAAACTCCAACGGGCAGAATTCCAACGGCTGTCACCTTTACTACCATTGAAGCCACCATTGATGAGAGAGAATTAAAGGCTTAGCTCCCCATTTATGCTTCATGTTGTTACCGTTAGCAGCATTTGTATAAGTAGGGACTCCCCTCAGCTTGGAGGGGGACGTTCAATACTCTGGACAAAGACACGGTACTTTTCATTCTGATACAAAAGGGCAATACCACTATTGTTACTTTCTTATTCGTTACTTTATATTATATTTCCGGTAACATATTTACCGTCAATGATGAATAAGATAAGTGAGATTATACCCATACTTTCTTCTTTTTCTCCTACTCTTTTCTCTGACAATTCCTTTATGATCTTCAACAATATACTATTTCATATATATCTAATTCGTTTCATTGAGAATTACTACGAGCTAAAAGGCAAGTTGATTTCAATATTTCTCTCAACATTCTATATCTCTTTATCTCTTTATTATGTCTCTCTATATATTCTATCTATCTTGCCTCCTTCAAAAATTCAATCTCCCTCTGATTCTTCCTTTTTTTTTTCTTGGTTTTAGCAAGTGGTGCTTGCTTGATACGAGATCATATCAATCGATCAACTTGGCTTATATTTGTTCTAGTTGGTGACTTGCCGAAGCATTTGTTGACCGATTGATATAGTAACTTACAAAACGTACTTCTAGAATTGTGGTTTGATTATTGAATAGTTGAGGTAATGCATTTGGTAGGTTTTTAAGTTTAGTTTGGTTCGAGGGCTAATATAAATCGTAAGGAAGAGGTTTGTTTCCATTCAATGAATTGTGCTTTTGACTCTTCGCAAATTATGCCGTGGAAACGTGTTCATCATGCTTTGTGAGCACGGTTCCAAACGGCATCGTTTTTACGGAAAAAAAAAAGTTAGTTAATGTGCTGTTAACGGCGTTTTGCATTTTATGTTCAGATTATGAATTTACATTTATTAAATTATGAATTTTCTGTTATGAGATTATGAATTTACAGTTATGTAATTATGAATTTTCTGTACATTCATAATCTCATAACAGCAAATTCATAATCTCATAACAGAACATTCATAATTTCATAACAGAAAATTCATAATCTCATAAAAGAAAATTCATAATTTCATAACTGCAAATTCATAAATCCATGCCTGCACATTTATAATTTATGAGTGTTGAAGAAACTTATGCGAAGAGGAAGTGAAATCGTAAAATATGAATATGAAGAAGAAAAGTCGCGCTGTTAATTAAAAAAAAAAATTGGTGAAAAATAACGGTACCCGTAAACACCGTTACTGTTTGGGACCGTATTCACCATAGATGGTGAACACAGTTCCATGGCATAACGATTGTTGACTCTTAAGGTAGGCCAACACATTGTAATCATGTTTTTCTTTGCATTAATAAAAATGTTTGTTTAAAGCAAATCCTAATAAATTTGTATAAAATCACCATACTTTAAATCCTTAAAAAAGTTAATATAACAAAAGAGCTATATTTTCAATTTTTTTTTAAAAAGAACATATATATAAAACATTCGCTCATAAAAGTACAAACTACAATTTAAAAGTAAGACAAACAAATAATATAATGGTGCGAAACTTGAAATAGACCCTAGGTATATAATAATACAAATAAAGAGATGAGACCAAACTACCAAAGAAAGAAAAGTCGAGGAAAGTGAAGGAAATTAGTGGACTTGTACTAGTAGTAGTTGCCCATAAACACTTTCCCCAACTTCAAAAACAGCGCATCCCACCACTAAAACGAGCAATTACAGTACCAATAAGTAATTAAGCGATAATGTTTGTTTCTTAAAGAAATAGTCAAGCCTCATTTTAGATAATAATGTATCCACATTTCAGTTTCCAAACGCGGAGTTGGAAGGATAAGCATAGGGCGCCGCCATTGTGAACCTGTCAAATTTCAACAAACACGTTTTAGTGTCTCCTTATACATAAATACATAACTCATCCATATATATATCTGCGTGGGAGAAAATTTTATAATGATAAAATCAACATACATCTTTACAAAAAAAAAAAAAAAAAAAGTTGTATTTTTGTAAATAATTATCATTTTATTTATAAAATGTTACTGCCTTTTATATTTATAATAATATGCATGAATCTTGTTGGCATTGTATAATTTTTTCATATATAAAGCATATTATATATGGAAAATGTTAATTTTTCTTTGTAAAACTATCTCCTATATTAATCTCTTGATTGGATATTATATATAAGACTTTAAAAAGAATTCTTTATATATATATATATATATATATATATATATATATATATATATATATATATATATATATATATATATATATTGGGTATACCCAAGGTTATCACCGTCAAATACAGTGACTAACCCTCCTCGCTATATTGTAAGCACCTCTTTTGGGTGGGACAACTGTTCTAGAAATTTAAGGTTGCTCTCTCCAGGTTTGATTTCTTTATATTTTTTAATTATATGTAAATTGGTTGATATCACTATGAATTAATTAGATAATGTAATACAAATAGTTAACATAGTAGCCAAATACTTTTTAAATGAATACAATAATAATGATATTTTAGGATGTAAAAATTAAAAAATAATTTTAAAAGTAAATGTAAACACTATTAAATTGATACTAGCTTCCACTTTTGGTTTTCGGTATTGATTTATTTCAATTTCAATTATTAAGTTTAAAAAACATTTCACTTTAATTTCAAAGTGCTCAAAATATCTTTACTTTGTGAACAAATTTCACAAAATTACACCATACAGCATTTAATAATACTTTGGATATTTTGAATTAAAAGTGTAATTTTGTTATAATAAAGAACAAAAATAAATTAGATTAAATTAAAAATAAAAATATCATTATAATGAAATGAATAAAAGAGAAATAAGTTCTATAATGCCTATCGGATTATCAGTACTTGTACTTCTTTGGGAGAAGAAGTACTATGAGCACGCCGCACGCCATTCCCACATTTTATTATTATTATTATTATTATTATTATTATTATTATTATTATTATTTTATTTTTTTTTAGAAAATCGTGATTTTTGAAGTGAAGTTTTTGACTTCTTTTTTCTTTTTCTTGAGGTGGTCGACATAAATTAGTCAAGTAGGAAATAGGAGTCAATTTTGGCATCCTTCTAAGCCAAGACGAATGGTATCCTTATTTCTACAGAATTCTATGTCGTTTAACAAAATTTTATTTAATTAATTAAAAATGAAGTCTTTATGACTAGTATAAAATTTTATACAAAAATATAAATAGATATTTTATTAAGGATGCAAGTAAGTGATCTGATTTTATTAGGTGAATAGGTGCGACATTATTTTGGTAAAACCGTTGAATTGGATAATGTAACGAGAAACATGTGGTACATTTGCTGTTGACCAAATTATGGCTGAAATCAAATGGGACCAGCTAGTATATATGAATTAAGAAAATTCTACACAACTTAAAATAGTGATGTCTCTTCATTTTTTATTGTAATATTTTAATTTGGATACTATATATTTTATTTTGAGCAAAAATTTGTGGAGACCGTCTCACGGATCTTTGTCTGTGTGATAGATCGGGTCAAGATAAAATGTAATATTTACTATTACATTTGCTAGTATAAGTATTGCATTTGCATATTGACCCAACTCATATTTGCATATATATTGACATGACCCGTCTCACAAATAAATATCCGTGAGATGTGAGATGTGAGACATTTTTACACAAGTGTGCCCCTTTATTTTGACGATACATCTTCTTTAATTTTTGTACTATTATAAAATATATATTATAGAAAAATTCTATAACATGACTTACCAAGTAGTAAGAATGTCAGTACATTGTTATAAATAGGAAAAAAATACGAATCTTAGATAATGAAAATAAAATATTTAAGGTGCATCAATTTAACTCGGTGAGTATGTTTAAATTTTAAAGTGCATTATTTTTTAGCTTAAGGTGTATAAGTTCAAAGCTTAAGTTGCGTAAGTTTATAGCTTTAGGTGCCTAAGTTTAAAGTTTAAGGTGGTTTAAAGCTTAAAGTGTAAGTTTAATTTATAGCTTAAGGACGTATATTAAAAGTTTAAGATGCATCAGTTCAACTCTTAAGGTACGTATGCTTAAAGCTTAAGGTGCATAAATTCGAAGTTTAAGGTGCGCCAGTTCGAGACACTTGATCATTTGCATCCATGTTGCTAGGAAGTGCATTTTAAAAAAAAATCATTTAATTTGATCGTCGTTGATCTAGATTAAATTAACGGCTCAGATCTAACATCATTTTTCATTTGGGAGAAGTTTGTCTAATTTATGCACAAGTTTAATTTGCTGGTTCTCACAGGAGATCAATAATATAATATGCATAAAATTGATAGGGAAAATAGAAATTTATGCCCCTCCATAATATGTCAATTATCAATGTTATTCCTAAATTATTAGTGGTGTAAATATTGCCCCTCAATTTTCAAAACGGTACACATATATTGCCCTCCCATACAGTACGGAAGGGGCAATATATGTACCGTTTCAAAAATTGAGGGACAACATTTACACTTGGAAGGGGCAATATATGTATCGTTTTGAAAATTAATGGGCAACATTTACACCACTAATAATTCAGGGGTGACATTGATAATTGGCATATTATAGAAGGACATAAATTACAATTTTCCCAAATTGATATAAAAGGAGTAACGTAACATATAATACAAACCTCTCTTTCCGCTTGAGTAAAAACCTTTGCAGTGACATCCTTCTGTGTAATGGCATATCTGCAATCATAATCCACAACATTAATAAGAAGAAGTATCTTATTTAAATGCACCCATAATTTCTAATACAGATGTGCTATTATATTTTCTTTGTATATCCAACACAAATATTGAAAAAATTAATATTAAAAAAAAAAAAAAAAAAAAAAAAAAAAAAAAAAAAAAAAGAAGAAGAAGAAGAAGAGAAGCTTGATTACCTCCGCTAAGCTTATCCACGGCGATGGAATGAGCGGAGTCTGAAGTTCCGAGGATGCCTTCATGAGCAAGTCTGAGAATATTCTCCGCCTACACAATTTTTTTTCTACTTTTCAAACAAAATTTTGCAAAAAACATATAAAGATAAAAAAGATAAAAAAAAACGGCGGATTGTTATATTGTTATATTGTTAAAGCATATATATAATACGGACCTGGAGCGGATTGACGTCAAAAACGGCGACGCTTCCATTGTAGAAAACAGTCAAGGGAGTAGACTCCATGGAAGAAAAGAGAAGCTGATCCTCCTTGGAAGAAAGATAGGAGGAGGGCTTTGGAGCGGCCTGCAAATCACTGGTGTTTTCCATGGATGCAAAACTGGCGGAGGCAGTAGCGATCACATTCTTAAGAAGCTCCGGATTAATTTTTGAAATGGCTGCAAGCAAGAGAGAGAGAGAGAAATGAAATCAAAACTATTTCAATCCGATCAGCCGGCGGCGAAGCATAGAAAGCGAAATGCTACGAGTTTCAGACGGAAAAATAAATATGTGCGAACTAACCACGGAAGCTTCTCCGGCGATCGAAGAGCTTGGAAGGCGGAGGAGGCTTTGCGGCGGCCTCTTTCTCCAGACGGAAGAAATCGAGTTCCACGGCCGCTGCGGCAGATGATCTCGACATTGCGAGAGAGATGAAATCGGATTTCAGATTTCTGCGGAGAGAGAGTTGAGAATTTTGATTTTTGAGGGAGAAATAGGATGAATATGAATTATTTATATATCTCGAGAAAAGGGTTGGCGCCAGGGGCAGGACAAGTAAGAGAATTTCCCCTGTTTGAGATTATATAGATATTATTATATAAATATAGTAACATACATATGAAAAATGCTGAGGACGGACCCAATAAAGAATATATATATTCCCATCATGCATTTAAGTAAAAATAAAATAAAATAAATGATATTTTTTGGTTTCATTATTAGGGTACATATTCACATCATCCATAATGGAAATATAAGATGCAATAAAGTGAAAAGAATATCATTTATTGCATTGAGTGCTGTGGACCAATAAGCTCACTATCAATTGTTATATTGAGAATCAAATTTCACCAAAATCAAACACTTATATTGGTTGTTTAATCAAGTCAAACAGTTAAAAATAGTCAAATAAGTTAAAATTGATCGATAAGCTAACTATGTTACCAAGCAGAGCTAATAAGGGTGTTTAGATACTGGGCTGATCAGCAATTTTTCAGCTTATTTAACCAACTTTGGTTGTTTGACATAATCAATCAGCCAAAATGGGTGTTTGGTAAAATAACTTTTTCTTTGAGATGATTGTGTTAAACAACTAAAATTAGAAACGCTACTTTGAGCCGCGTTTCCATTCAACTTCTTGATCTTTTTATTTTTAAGACTAATCTACCACATTGGAGCTTCACCACAAGATGCCATGAAAATCTATCTCAAAAACAAGAGTGAAGAAAAGTATTTTTACTGATATTTTCTACAACAAAGATTGAGTAGTAGAAACCACAAATAACATAGAAAAACAAACGAACAAATACCAATTTTGATCCCACGAGTATTAGTAAAATGATAATTTTGGTCCACATGTTTAATTTTTATCAATTTTCATCCACGATTATTGTTTTAGTACCAATTTTCATCCACGACTATTTTTAGTGCCAAAATTCATCATGCTGGACAACTCTACATTAAAGATGTATTGATATCTAAAATATTTAAGGGTATTTTCGTCATTTTCAAATTTAGATCTAAATTTGAGCATGAATAAAAAGGGGTTTAATCCCGAAGATCAATCTCATTTCACAATTATCTTCCTCATCTTATCTTAATTTGAGGAGAAGAACTGCGAATTGGGATCGATCTTAAGACTTAAATCCATTTATGTATGCTCAAATTGGGGTCGTAATTTGAAAAGGACGAAAATACCCTTAATAATTTCATATTTCGGCATGTCTTAAACAAAATGGTGATCGGCGTGATGAATTTTGGCACTAAAACAATAGTCGTGGATGAAAATTGGTAGGAATTAAACATGTGGACCAAAATTGTTATTTTGCTAATACTTGTGGGACCAAAATTGGTATTTGCTCAAAATCAAACTCAAAACAAAAGACATGAAAATCATTTTTCTATTGAGATTTCTATTACAAAATTGAGCGGCGTAAGCACAAAACACAGAGATTCAAAACCAAAAATAAAACAGAAGAATATGCAATTTTTTTTATTAAGATGTTCTACTGCAAAATCGAGCAATGAAAGTCACAGAGATCCACAGAAAACCAACAAAAATTAATAATAATAAAAACGTAATTTTTGTACAAAGATTTTCTACAACAAACCCGAATATCTTTACTTCTTTCTTTAGATTCTCACCAACTCTCAACTTCGAACTCCCAAACCACTGTCGTTGATGATGCTCCATTTTTATCGCTATGAGTTGCTCTCGCCACAAATGGAGGTAAAGGGAAATGGAATGCGAGTTTAATTAGGGTATTTGCTTTTCATTTGTCATATTTTGTATAATTATGTTTTGGCCCCAATAATTTGTTATGATTTCAAATTCACCCTTTTAATAACAACAATAACAACAACAACAACAACAACAACAATAATAATAATAACAACTTCAAAATAAAATTATTTTTAAATTCATAATTAAAAATAATTTATGATGATAACTATTATTATAATAAAAATAAACTATATTAAACTTTATATAATAACTGATGCGCAAAAAATAAGTGTCCAATTTTAATATTTTATATTAAAATGTAAAATTTATTTAGATTTTAGATATTTAAATTATTGTAAATAATAATAATAATAATAATAATAATAATAATAATAATAATAATAATAATAATAATGTCCCGATTGGTCATTTACATGCAACTAGCTTATAGTAAACATCTCATTTAACAAACATCTTTTTGTAACCAACTAATACAATCAATTGGTCAAATACTCAAATCAGTTAACACAATAAGCTATTAGCTACCAACTAAACCAATTAGCTATCAGTTAACACGAATTTGCCAAAGGGTATTTGGAATTGGATATTGGCTGATCAGCCTTTTTTCAGCTTATTTGAACAACTTTTGTTGTTTGACTTAGTCAATTAGCTAAAATTGGAAACGCTACTTTGAGCAACATTTCCATTCAACCTCTTGATCTTTTTATTTTTAAGACCAATATGCCCCATTGTAGCTTCACCACAAGATGCTATGAAAATCTATCTCAAAAACAAAAGTGAAGAAAAAACTTTTTTACCGATATTTTCTACGACAAAGATTGAGTTGTGGAAGCCACAAATAACATAGAAAATCAAACTAAAAACAAAAGACTTGAAAATCATTTTTGTATTGACATTTCTATTACAAAATTAAGTGGCTTAAGCACAAAACAAAGAGATTCAAACCCAAAAATGAAATAGAAGAATATGCAATATTTGTACTGAGGTGTTATATTACAAAATCGAGCAATTAAAGTCACAGAGATACACAGAAAACCAAACAAAAAAATTAATAATAATATAAATTTAATTTTTGTACTAAGATTTTTTACTACAAACCCGAATATCTTTTCTTCTGTTTTTTTTTTCGGATTTTCACCAACCCTCAACATCAAACTTCCAAACCACTACCGTCGATGATGTTCCGTTTCTGTCGCTCTAAGTTGCTCTCGCCGCAAATGGAGGTAAAGGGAAATGGAATGCGAGTTTAATTAGGGCATTTAGTTTTTATTTGTCATATTTTTATAATTATATTTTGGCCCCAATAATTTGTTATGATTTCAAATTAACCCTTTTAACAACAACAACAACAACAAAATAAAATTATTTTAAAATTTATATATTCATAATTAAAAATAATTTATGATGATGATTATTATTATTATAAAAAATAAATTATATTAAACTTTACATAATAATAAAAATAAAAATGTCCTTATTGGTCAGCTAATAGTAAACATTTAATTTACCAATCACCTTGAGAGAATCACTACATGCCATCTGAGCATAATGTGTTTGGCAATAACTTATGTTTATTTACATGTACATAATCTTCTATTCATATATACTTTCTCAATCTAGCGAAACACAAAGAGTCAACACCGCCTCCACTGAAGGCTCTATCTCATGACCTCCCATATGGGAGAATCACTACATGCCATCTGAGCATAATGTGCTTGCCAATAACTTATATTTATTTACATGTACATAATCTTTAATTTGAAGGTACATAATATATTAACTACAGATACAAAATTATTTGAATCTCCTTTTGGATCTAGTCCCACAATATATACAATGTGGATCATAGTTAATAATAGTATAATTTGCGGTTCACTATACTCTATAACTTTAACAAGAAAAAAAAAAAGAAAAAAAACTCCGATCCGTAATATTTTTTAAAGACAAAATTTGTATCTTAAATGACTACCAGGGACGGAGCCAGAAATTCGATTGAGGGGGGGAGGGGGGGGGGGGGGGGGCGAAGTAGGACGGATTCAGAAATTTTTTCCAGTAAAAGCGAAACATTCAAACAAAAGATATAATTTTAAAAAAAAATTATCTAAGAAATTTTTTTTTTTATAACCATTACTTAAGAAATTATAATTTTTTCCAGTAAAAGCGAAACATTCAAACAAAAGATATAATTTTAAAAAAAAATTATCTAAGAATTTTTTTTTTTTTTTTATAACCATTACTTAAGAAATATAATTGTAATTTAATAAAATAATTTGAATATAAAACACATTATAAATTTTACATATATATGTATTAAAATATTAAAAAAGTAAAGGACAAAATATGTTAATGTAAGATTTTGAACCCAAGACTTTTCTTATTACCATAGATATGCTCTACCAACTAATCTAACTCTTTACTTGTTGACATTTACTAGTTTTTTTATACTAGTACTAACACATATACTATATATACATATATACATATACATATTATATATGGAGTGGGGGTGGGGTGAGGGGGGGCAGTTGATCCCCCTGCCCCCCCTCTGGCTCCGTCCCTGATGACTACTAATTATGTTATTTAAATTTTACAGAAAATTGAACGTGGAACATAACCTATATATATCATATAATATGTGATGGTTTTATTGAGACCGGGTCCACCATAAACTAGATATAAAAATATAGAACGAGATAGGAAAAGAATAACTTTTATTACCCGGGGCACTAGGTTCAAAATAACACGTATAAAGCTCGAGGTACAGGCCCAGAATGGCGGCCCAAAGGATGGACTATAGCTGACTATGCTACTATCAAGAATCGAACTCAGTTGAGAGGGTTGAAAAAATGGGATCAAGACCGCTAGATGGTAGTGCTCATCGTGTCCTTATTGTCCCTTGCTAAGAATCCAGACCCCCTATTTATAGCATATTCCCTGTGTACGCCATCAGATCGACACCCTTCTACCAATGTCACATGTCCCATGTTGCCCGGCTAAACATTCGCCACTTCTCTCCTGCATCGGTTACACCGACCCACCACTCCCGGAGTACTCGCGCGGAGGCCGCATGCCAAGACCTGCCATCCTCCCAACCCCCCGCATCGCACACGGCCCCCGCGCGAGAGGTATTGTGTCGCGCCCAGGCGCGCACCAGTCATGCTCGGGCCGCTCCCAGCCCCGCGCAGGGTGCGCCGTCGCTGGTTGGGGCCAGCGCCCCAGCCGGCGACCACCTCTGGCAAGCGGGCGGCCACCGACCACCTTTTCCGGTAGCCCACCTCCATGTACACCACCACCCCCTCCCCCACTTACACCAGCTTCCCT